AGAAACACGCCAGAAGACATCAGATTCTTTTCTCAATTTTAATGCTCAGTGTAAAAGATCACTTAATGCCTGACATGCCACTAAAGAGCCAGCACCGTGGAGGAGCGGGCGAGCTGGAGGTGCAGCCCTGCTTGCCCGGGCCAGCACAGGCTTGTTGCAGCCACTGGCTGCCTTCTTCCCACTGCAGCCAAGGCTTATGGGAGCTCACAGACCCTGAGCGGGGGCACAGGGCCACGGGCGAGTGTCCACACACAAGGGCACCAGCAGCCACTGCTCCGCCTGTCACCACGCAGGCAGTACCCCACTGCGGCATGGGGTGGGCTGCTGGGGCTGTGGGACCCCTGGCACGGTCTCGGGGGAAGTGATGCTCTCCTAGGCATGGGGGCATGTCAGAATGCTGGCGTGCCCGGGCTTTGCACAGACTGCTGCGGGCAATGGTTTGCCGTGCTGGGTCTCAGTGGTGGCAGATCCACCAAGGTCCCCTTCTTGGGGACATCCATCTTCAGGCACCCTGCTGCACACAGGCCGGCACGTGCTGCCCTCGCAGGGCTCTTTGCAGCTGGTTTTGCAGTTTGGTTTCCTGAAAGGCAGGCGGGGTGGCCCAGCTGGATGTGCTGAGCTGCTATGGCTGAGCAAGTCGGCGCCCATCAGCTGAGCCGCGCCAGCACACCCCAGCTCCTTTGTAGTCTGTCCCAGCCGTACAGTCATCCCAAACAGCCCGGTTTGGTGGGTGCTTCCCATAGGGCTGCTGTACTGGGGTGAGCACAACTGAATGTTACTTCCCAACAGCGATTCGTGGCACGAGAAACATGATATTTCCCCTCCACCACCTCTAATTCGTTGATCAAAGAGATTCTTCATCAATGACTTAAATTCATAGGTTGTTTGTAAACTTTTCCTTCTAGGAGAAGGTGTAAGACTTTGCTTACAAACATGCACCCCAGGAGAAGCTGCAGTCCTGCCTTTGTTTAGCAGGGACAGGGTAGGTTTGTAAATTGTCAAAGTTAAAGTGGAAACACACCCCAAATGTAGGAAGACTGCAGAACACAAAGGCATTTGTAAACTAATGTAATTACTTTCCTCAGTGCCTTTGAATAAAATTGGCTTCACTTTAAAGGCTTTTTCCTACCCTTGTTTTATATTATGTTCTTTCCTTTCTCCTGGTTTCTTTCTTCTTTAATTTCTATCTTCCCCCCACCCCATGCCTTCCACTTTTAGCTCCAAGCAGCTATTAATTTCCAAAATGTCTATCAGTTTTTGTTAGCAAACCTTTGCATTTGGACGTTTTCCTTTTGAAGGCGAGAATAACACCCTGGGAAGATGGCTATCTGCTGTGCTGGTTTCTCACAGCACAAAGCCATCCGAGCACTGAGACCTCCTCGGGGCAGGACGGGGCTTGTCCAGCTGGCCAACGTGCCATGGCACCCAGCACCCACAGCCAGCCTGGCTCCTAGCGGGGTGACCAGCCCATCCCAGTGACATCAGTGCCTCGTGACATTGTTTGAAGCCTGGCTTTAACTCAGCCTGATGTTTTCCAGATTCCTCTGGGGTTTTTCCCATCCAGATGTGAGCAGAGGTCACAGTGAAGAGAAACAAGTGGGGAAACTGAGGATGAAGCCTAGCCTGGACCCATACGTGGCTCCTGTGCATTAATGGTGCTTGTTAGGGTAATCATGGCCAGAGCAGATCTATTGGAAGGGGAAATAGCAGGATGTGGGGCTGGCTTGTTGTACGGCAGAAGTATTTAATAATAAAACAGTCAAAGATACGGCACATTTTAAAAGGGAAATGTTATCCATCCTGGGTCACTGCCCCACACTGTTTTCCTTATCTGGCAGCAGCTCATGTTGCAGAGCCTGTAAGGTCAGTGAGGAGCCGTCCACTGGTGCTGGGGGGGTCTGGATCAGGCCCTTTGGCCGCAGTGGCCCATCAAGGCTCACCAGCTACAAAGGCTTGTGTGTGCTCCGAACTGGAGCTGGACGAAGGAGGAGTTATTTTAACAGAAAACAGTGACCTTTTGTGCAAAAGTGAAGTGCAGACGGAGCAGTTTTAGTTTTCCAGCAAGTTAACATTTTCTGCAGGCCTTTCTCCTCTGAAAAGCCTGATTGATCTGAGAATCCCCCACTTCCTTCTTTATTTTTTCTTATTTTTGAGCGTCCTGGCTGGGCTGTGCCAGCTCAGCTGCCAGCCACTCATTCACGGGCTCAGAAATGCTGTCGATGGCCAGCTGAGCACAGAGGCAGGAGATGTTGGCAGCCTGTGACCACATCTGCCCAGGCTTGGCTCTCCATCCCGTGAGGAATGGGTGATGGATGAGAGAGTGTATTCGCACAAGCCTAGGTTAATGTCAGCCCAGGCAAGAGGTGTCTTCTGCTTTTTGTCTTCACTCTAGCTGGACCTCTCAGGGTAGGAGTGATGCCTCGGGTGAAAGGATCTGTGTATCCCCCTCGTTCTGGTTTGTCCCCAAGAGGGGTGGTAGGTGTAAAGGCAACAGCAGAGGAGGCCATCAACATGCATAAAGAAAGGGGTTTCTGCCCATGAAATGTCCTTAGGCACTGGGTAAGGACTGGCAGTTGCCTCTACCCCATCCCCTCGCTGAGCACCCGTGCAGAAGGTCCCCTTGGCTGAGGCAGTCCAAAGCAAATCTTTCCAAGTTATTTCAGGCAGTAGAACACAGGTTGGAGCCTGTTATATTTATTTTGCTTTGCTTTTCAAATCAAATTGCCCATCCCTGCCGAGCTATGTTGCTGGTCTGATGGGAGCCAGTTCCTGCGGACCTGCTGAGCCTAAATGGAAAACTTCCCAGCGGAAGCAGGAGTGGGGCTGGGCACGTATGTCCTGCTGTGTCGGGCTCCAGGAAGGCAGAGCCCAGGCTGCCAAAGGGAGAACTCACACCCCTGCTTTTCACCCAGGGTGAACGTCTTACAGCCCATTGCTTTAGGGACCAGAGCAGCCTGATGGAATTTGGCATCTCTTTGGAAAAACAAAAAAAGAAAGAAAAGTAATTTCTGATCTCCACCAACTTCAAGGATGCAGTGGGCAAAAAAAACCTTCATTGCAAGAAATAAACCCACAAACTAACCAAGCGAGCAGCCTGCCTGCACGTGGGGAATTTGGCAAGAGAAGCCAGCCCGTGTCCGCACGTGGCACCGCGGTAGCCTGGCAGCCCGCTGGCAGGTATGGCAGCCGGGGCATCGCCAGGAGGTGTTCAGCTGCAGACCCTGCTATGGACTAGCTGCATGAATTTGGGGAGCACGCGGAACGTCCCTACGCTGCAGATGTTCCTTTACTGTGCAGATATTTGCTACCTCATGTAGCACGTCGTAAGAATGTGTTTTTAATATGCTTTGATGTCCCTGGATGAAGGATGCTTTACAAATGCAAAGTAAGTATTCTAATATACGTAGTTTGTTTTCTTTTTAACATAACAAAATACTTAGCAGCCTTTCTTTCTCTGACAGTTTCTATAGCTGGTGGGTCTGTTTCTGCTGTGCCTTAGCAAAACAAATTTAGGGTTTCATACTGGCGTATGCTCAGCGTTCTCCTCAGCTTCATGACCTGAGCAGTTTCCTTTTCATCAGCACTGCAGAGTTACATGCAGAAATCTGCTAAAAATCCCTCTTTCTGCAAAGCCTGATGATGGGGAAAAGGTGGATCTTAGGGTTGGTTTGGAGGGGAGCCATAAAAAGAGAGGCAAAGCGATTGCAAGCACTGGAGCAGCTCTACTCGCAGGTAGCTCTGAATGAGACCAGGGAACGAGATGAATGCAGAGTAATTCTTCCTTGAATAATGCCGAGTTTCGATATTTATTTGGGAATAAATAGTCATTTCTTCCTGTAGAAGGAAACTCCCCGTGCGAGGCAGCCCCAGCAGCCCGCGAGCTCTGTGTGAGCCGCCTCTGCGTCCCCGTCCCTCTGGGGGACCCGTGCTAGTTCAGCATCCTGCAGATGCTGCGGGGTTGTGCAGGCAGCGGGGGCGTCCCTGGGGAGATGCAGCCCACGTGGTGCTTTCTAGGCCACAGCCCGAAACGTGCAGTGAGGGCAAAAGCTGATCAAAAGCCCCGCTGCAAAGTGAGTGTCGCTTGGGAAAAGCCCCGTGGAAGCTGCAGGCATTGCAGCCACTCTGAAACGAAGGGCTGCAGTGTCTGAGAGCCCGGGGAGCATCTCAGGGGGCTCACCCCACCGTACAAAGGCAGAAAGCTGAATGCTGCATGCACCAGGAAAACACTTCGCATCTCAAGAGCAGTTTTAAAAAAGCCATCCAGCCCCTTGCTCCTGCCCAAGCATCCAGAGGGGTCCTGGGCTGGAGATTCCTGATCCCAGCTGAGTTTTCCCTTACCTTTTCCTTCTCCTGGGTCTTCCCAAGCCATTCAAGGTCACTATGGCCACTTCAGAGCTGATCTCGGCCAGCGAGTCCCATGCTGGTGCCTGACCCGGCCCTTGAGTACGCGTCCCAGGTGTGGCAGTCGG